CTGGGTGATTGATTTGCGACCAGGCCTGCATATGAATTCGCCAAGGTTGTAAGCCAGTGAGCCCGTGCATTTTTGTTAAGCGGTCATATTTGAAAGTGTAAATAAAGAAAGGAAAAACCCGCATCTCGCCTTTCACTCAGATAAACAGTACAAGTCGTGTTAAATTTATTTACATAACTAAACAAAATGATTATAGAATTAAACCTTTAAGAATTGAATGCTCATATGCCGAAACATTTTCCACCTTAAATACACACGTGTTTTTCAGAAGTGAATTTAGTACAACCTTTTCACGATGGAATTTTGTGTCCTTTCGACATAAACAGTCGCTATCAAGACATTACACGAAAAACTCCAGTCACCGTTCTAKCTCTCGTTGTAAGRTYAAAGCTAGTAAATGTGTAACTGACCTGTTACATAACGTCAAATCGTCGAACACACTTGCGGGTTATTGCCAAAAATGCGAATAAGGATGAACTACGACAGTTGTTTGTACCAAAAATAACAAACGCTTTAACTCTATTGGAATACGTCGACCTAAGCTGCTCTAGCTCTTCCAGTGATGTTGTAGATACCTCAGAGCTTAGAGGAAACAAGAGCTAAGAAAAAGGATTTGCAATTTTTATTTTTATTTTATTATCTTTATATATAATTTATATAACAATAACAGCAAAATCAAAAAGAAAAGACACCATGACAACAAATACAAAATAATATTAGGGGCAGGGACACCGCAACAGTTTGAGCCAATTACTGCGGACCCGAGCTATACTTTAAAAAGAAAAACGGTCGGACAATAGACATTACAAATAATTAATAACAACATGTTAGATCAGTAGTGAGGCTTCTCACAACGTTACAGTCAGGACAGATAGATTTCCAGGTTTTAGGTACTTCGGGGTCATAATTTAGGGTCAAAGCGGTGAAGTAATATTTCAGTAGAGTATTTCTAAATAAGGAAAGTTTGGAAAAGCTTGAACTATCAATACAGGTATCTAAGTTATTCCAAATACGAGTAGCCCTGACTAAGAATGATTTCTGAAAAGTAGTTGTTTTACATTTACGAGCAAAAAATTGATTTGAGCCTAAATTGGTAGTGGATCTAGTAGGTCGAGATGAACGGACTTGAGGGATTTATATCTACAACCCCATTAACTATCTTAAAGAAGTAAATTAGATCTAAGTACTCATGCCAGTATGTTAGTGGSAGTTAATTCAGTTTCATGAGTCTGTCCTTATAAGAGAGTTCACAGCGGAACGGTAGCCCCAGAATAAACTTAGAGGCCCRTCWCTGGATACGCTCAACTTGTCTTTTTTAAAAGCTCTTTCTTAAAAAGCTCCTTCGTCTGCGGGGCCCATATCTGGGTAGTGTATCCAAGGTGTGGACGTACGAGGGCTAGGTACATAGATCTTCTAATAGCTGTGTTCTTTATAGTTCTCGAGTTGCGTCTCACAAATCCAAGTGTCCTGTTAGCCTTGGAGCAAACTTCAGATATCTGTCTTGACCAGGAAAGATCGTCTGATATCCATACACCAAGGTCTTTCTCAGACTTAGTGCAGGCTAGCGATGAGCCGTCTCAGAGATAGTAAGTACTCATGAAGGGTTTGTGCTTCCGGGTGACATGCATTAGCTTGCTCTTCTTGTTGTTGAATGCCATACCTGCGTCTCTTGCCCAAGACTCAAGATTGTTCAAGTCAGACTGAAGGTCTGTTATGTTGTCACACGATTGAATGACCTTGAAAACTTTTGTGTCATCAGCAAATGCTGCAACGCTGCTCTTCTCAACTGCATTAGGCAGGTCGTTTGCAAATAAGAGAAATAGTATTGGGCAGAGTATCGAGCCTTGTGGAACCCCTGATGTCACAGGCTGATTAGTGGAAACACCTCCTGGAACGATGACCCGTTGACTTCGATTGGTGAGATAGGATTCAAACCACAGTAACAGGTTCCCACCAAAACCATAATAGGCCAACTTGGTTATCAGCTTACGATGGCTTACTCTGTCAAATGCTTTGGACATGTCTGGAAAGACAGTGTCTATTTGACGACCGTTATCTAAGTGACCACCAATAGTGTCAAKGACTTCGACAAGTTGAGTCACACATGAGCGGCCTGCAGTGAATCCGTGTTGACACCTCTTTCATCGCATTGAGTACGCATCGTTCCATTATTTTAGATACGACCGATAAAAGAGATATGGGTCTGTAGTTCTCAGCGTGTTCAACACGCAGTGCCTTTCTTATGTACAGGAATAATATTTGCTGCCTTCCACTCAGTGGGAAATTTCCCAAGACTTATACTTTTATTAAAGGTTGCGCACAGAGATGGGGTAATTTCATGTGCAGTTTCTTTAAGAATTTTGACAGGGATGTTGTCAGGCCCGGTCGCTTTATTAACGTCTAGGTCCTTGATCACAGAGAGAATATCACTGACCTCAWATGAGAGATGGCAAAGTTCAGGGTCAGGATGGCTATGGGTACCAGTGTTATTAGGCGGGTCTGTAGTAAATACAGAAGCAAAGTATTTATTAAATAGGTTGGCGATAGCCTCGGGGTTATTTCCTGAAGTTCTTGAAGGAGCASAATCCTGAATACCGGTGACTGGGTTATCTGTTGCCATGGAGATCTCAGATGGAAGTCCTCGGGTTTTGGATTTTTGTTTTAGTAGAGACCAAAAGCGCTTAGTGTTGTTTTTGTAGTCTGATTCAAGAGACCCAAGGAATTTTTCCCGGCTGGCACGTATCGCTTTTTTGACTTCGGTGCGCAGTGTTCGAAATTTAGATTTTATAGTAGCGTTGTTAGGGCTCTTTTTCGCCCTCCTTCGAACTGTTTCTTTCCTTTTGATGAGATTAATTATATCACCGTTTATCCAGGGGACAGGGTTACGGCCCCTCAACCTTTTGGTTGGCACGTAGTCCGCCACGGCAGCCAAAAACGTATCTTTCCAATAATGCCAGTCCGTATCAATATCACTGTTGTCGTCGATGCTTGAAAACAGTCCGACTGCTTTGAGAGATGCAATGGCTCCTCCTAAGTTACTTTGGACTTGAACGTCGCTTCAATGACCTTCTGAAGTCTTCGTGAGGTCGGCCATTGCTTAGCATGCAATGGAGAGCCCGCGTAGAACACAKACCAATTATTTTTATCAGGGAGGGGAATCTCGTGGCATTAAAGAAAAAATTATGTTACTCGATTTTTCGGATAGAATAAAATGACAGTCAGCCTACTCCACTGGGTCGAGTTTTGCTGTGCAAATTCCTCCCGTCCGGGGGTTATGTTTGCAACATTGCCTAGACGCATTTTCTCAAATCACCCAGACACATTTTGTAAGAAAACATCAAGGTATAGACCAATCCCGCATTTGCTTGGATGAACACGAAACAATCACTTCACTACGAGGCTGGAGTTTTCGACAAAAGATAAAACTCCATGCAGCCTCGAAATGAAGCCATTATTCCGTCTTCATTCAAGCGAATGCGAGAATGGTCTATTGTTTATTCTGTTAGTTTGTCAATTCAATTCAGTTTGAAATACCTCGATAACTGTGCTGATGTTCTGCGACCCATAGAAACACATGAAGTACATTGGCAGCATCTCAAACTTATCTGCCCAGTAATTGAACTGTTGAGCGTTCTT